TCTGCTTCTGTACTGCTTAGTGCAACAGTTTTTTGCTTGTTTTTTGTTTTTTTATGCCCACGAGATTACAGATCCACCCCAGAAAAATGTGTTCTTTGTATACGATTAACTTTAAAATTTGGCTCCAGTGGCGTTGGCATTTTTCGGCACTTTTCTTGCCCATTTCTGCCAAAAGGCGGCTTTGTACACTTGCTGGCCAACTAGCATTGCACCAGTCTCGCCCTCCGCTGGAACTCAAGAGAAATTTGATGGCCCCTTGTAGACTTCCTGAAATGTAGACGAAATGTCTTGTTCAACGCTTACAATTCACCAAAGTCTGCGAAAGCCATTAGCAAATCGTCAACGTAAACAGCTATACGGTTGATTGTCTTCTTTGTTGCCTTTGTGCATAAACACGGCTCACTTTCGCACGCCTTGTATCCTATCTTTGTCAAAACTTTAGCCAGCTTCCCATTCCAAACACGGCCTGATTGCTTTAGGCCATAAAACAACTTCTTCAGCTTTAGCACGCGTCCTATCCGTCGTCAAAACCTTCTGGCTGCTTCTTGTAGACCTACTCCTTAAGGTCCCCATTTAAATGGTTGTTGACACATCAAGTTGATGTACATGCAACTCATATTCGCCTGCTATAGCCAACACCTTTCGGATAGTAGCATAACGGACAACTGGTGAATAGGTCTCCTCATAGTCAATACCAGATTTTTGACTACATTCTTTAGCCACTAGCCTTGCTTTAAAGCGCTCTATTTTGCTACCTGAATATTGCTTTAATATAATTTCCACGTGCAGCCAGGGGTTTAACGCCATCTGCCACGTTTGATTTTTCATCAAGGCATTATACTCTTCGTGCATTGCGCTTTGCCAGTTATGCGCCTTTGGTCCTGCCATGGCCTCACAAACAGAGTAAGGAACTTCAAAATTGCCGCCATAAATAATATTTAAAAATGCTATAATTTTTGCGCAATTGTCCTCTTAATCCTGATCTGATTATCCTGGGTAGGTCAGGGCCTATGATGACTACATCGTTATCGCTAGTGTTATTTGTCGTCTTGAAATCGCTGCCTTTAGCATCTGGAACTGCAGATTCAGAGCTTGTGTGCACTTTGCCAATGCTGGTAGCCGAGTCGTCGTTTCGCTCCTCATCACTTAGTACCACTTTTAAGTTTGTACTTGCTTCTTATTCGCACCTCTCAGTAAAATAGACACCACGGCTCACCTTATTTCCTCAGTATCCTTGTCGCATAAGCAATATGCCTTCGCTGTTTCTGCATATCCAACCATTATATATTCTATGTCCTTCTCTTGAAACTTTTCCTTTTGTGTTTTATCCAACGCTATGGCAATCGATCCAAACACCTTTAAATGCTTAACGACTGGCTTATGCCCAGTCCATACCTCGTACGAAGTAACACCATCAAGAGCTTTAGTTGGTGATATATTTTTTAGATGTGCTGCACTTGCTATAGCCTCAGCTCGTTCATATCCGCTCTGTTCAGCATGGCACGTCTCATCTCAAGTATGGTTCTATTGAACCTTTCGGCGACTCCATTCTGTTGGGGCGTATATGGTGCCATATACCCATTCATTATCACTTCTTATTGCCTTTAGCTTCATACCTGTCTGCCGTTCACCTTAAGCCAAATGCTTTACAAATATTTCTTTTACTTCTGATTTTTATTTTAGAAAATAAACATGAACATATCGGCTCCGATCATCGATCATTGTGAGGAAATACTTGTTGCCGCCTACCGACGCTTTATTATTCGGACCACACACATCACTATGAACAATTTCTATCATTTCACATCTTTGGCTCTGTTAGATTTCTTAAAAGGTTTTACATGACATTTATATTTTAGGCATGACACACAATTTATGTCAACACTGGCCCCTGCAAACTCATACAAACTACGCATATTCAAATGAACATAGTTCGTCATTCCCTCTACTGCGGCATAATATTTCTTGTGGCGTCAACTGGCAAACATACAAGCCATCTACCTGTTCGGCCCCTTATATTAACCCTTTGTCACTTGTTGCCAAAATTTATTTTCCATTCGTTTGTTACTGCCTTGCCAACTGATAGAAAATTGCATTGCAGCTCTGGTAATAGAAATATTATTTTTAGGGTACTTTCGAAACCTTGCTGACTGTTTAATACCACTGTACTTATGCCTTTTGCCCAAATGTATTTATTTCCAGCAATTTCTGTTTCTGCTTTGCATTGCTCAAAGTTTCGAAGCAATTCGCGTCGCGCACTCATATGTGAAGTGGCGCCACTGTCGACACAAGAAACGCCAACGCCGATTCCCAAACACGATGCTATTCCAGCAAACGCCCGACCGACGCTGTTATTATCATTGTTGTTCTCTGCCTTGGTTCGGTATTCTGCTTCGGTATTTTGCTTTTACTTCGCATGTTCAGCATTTCCCTTCATTCAGCTTATTTTTTTGAATTCCGTTACGATCCATGTCTGTCTGCTTTTTTCACTTCGACTGTCCGATTACCGTAAAGGCTTTAACGGTAACTTGTTGCTTTCCATCGATGCTTTTGCGTTTTTATACTTCTGATACTAGTTTACTATTTATTACGATTAACGCAACAACAAAAACATTATTAGAAATAATTCCTCATGCAGAGAAATGCCAATTCCAGCCATTTTCTCAACAATATTTGAAAACTCCTGAACGTGATCTTAAACACTGTCGCCTTCTTGCATGCGCTTTTGTAACAATCTTTTAGACAATTTTACCTTACGAACGGGACCTGAAGGCTTTTTCTGATCTTTTTGAGATCATCCCACATGGTCTTTGCACAAGTGACCTTTTTTACTCTTTTACTTTTTAACTCCACTTTTTTGTGATCCGCCCATTGATAGTAATAATACAGCCAGTGCCTTTTCGTTGTTTTGGCTCCACATGTGCACCGGATAGTACAAATCGGGATGTACTAATACGCTCCTCATGAGCAAACACCATATCTCATAATTACCGTCACTGATTTTTTTCAATATTATATAGGGAACTCATTTTCACTTATATATTCAAGCGTTTAGCTAAATTAGTTTACTTTTTAAACTTGGTTTGGACAACTATGTACTTGGTGTAATTAGATTTTTCTGTTCCTTATTCAACTGCATTAACCGAAAAAATGCTGCCTGAGAATATTGCCTGGGCACAGAAGAAGTAAAAGAAACTAATTTATTCGCTTGCAAATGCACTAACTAGTTATTGCGGCAGAGATGCCACCGTGTTAAATTTTTGCAAGCATTACAACATCATTGCCACATATGCCACATTGCCACATATTTAATAAGTCGTTGACTCTAAAGGGTCTCCCAATAATTAGACTTAGCTCTTCCTGCTCATCAGAGAATCTGGGACAGACGTAAAAGCCATAGCCATGTCAGCCACTGACAGTGTGTACAAAACGAGATAGGTAGTAGTTGAGTCAAGTAAAAGTCAGTTTGACCGTACTTCTTACTTGCCAAAAGCCGTTTGTCCGAGACCAGCAAACGAGTCCAGTTGCCACTGAGAATAACTCTCCACTTCGCCTGTCATGCGTCCATCGCGTTCGTCCGCCTTGTACTTTGGGGGATGTTGCTCGGTGACTTCATTGCCAGGAAATCTAGCGGAATCATTCCAGTTAGAAGGAGTGCTTCGAAGACAGTAAAGTAGGAGCTGAGGCTTTATAACGCGAATCTTCGGTATGCTGCTTTGCAACTTCGACCGTTAGCGATTATCCTCAAGGACGGCGCCCAGACTGATGCGGCGTATAGGATGATCTACTTGACCACTCTGCTGATCAGCCACCTGTTCTTCTGCCGCGGGCAGAATGGTTTGCCAACACGACGACGAACTCAAGATGGTTCTCGAATGTAAGCCGATGGTCAAGCAATACTCCCAAATAACTGACGGCAGGCTTCAATTCTATGGGACAGCTGTCGACGCATATTGTAGCCGTGTTCACTACCTTTTTGCTGCCTAATAGTACTGCCTTCGTCTTGTGTTAGCCCATTGGTCGCGATCCAATTCACAACTCGACGAATCGCGATATTCGTTTTATCCTCTACCGCACGCAACTGCTTGCTGACCGTCACAGCCGATATGTCGTCTGCGAAGCCAATAATGCGTGTGCTTTCTGGGGTGCCCTGACGGAGAACTGCGCCATACATTCAATTCCAAAATGTAGGTCCCAGGACTGAACCTTATGGAACGCCGCCAGTTATAGTAGTTTTCGGATAGCCGTTGCCGTTGCTCCATCTCGTCAAGCAGTCTATTGCCGATTATGCGCTCGAATAGTTTCCCCACCAGATCGAGAATGCATTGTGGTCTATATGCAGACGGTTTCTCTGGTGGTTTGTCGTCTTTTGGAATCAGCACCAGCCTCTGTCATTTCCACCTTGTAGGGAATCGGCGCTCCTCCATGGCCTTATTGAATAACGCGGCATAAAGTGCAGGTTGCTCGGCCATTAATAGTATCAGCGTTTTTGTTGGTACCCCTGGCTGAACTCGGGACTGGGCCTGTAGGGGGTCGTCTGCATCCGTCCATTTTACCGCCGACCTTACGGCATGCGTAGTTAAGTGCAAGTTGAGAGGGGAAGAGCGTGGTGACAATAGCTCCTAGCTGATGCTCACCTGTGGGCATTGGCCCCATGCACTTTCTTCCCATGACTAGTTTATATGCTTCTCCAAAGGGAAGCGCCACGGCTTCAGCGCAACGCTTGTGGGTCAAGCGTGTCTTGGATCCAGCTGCCATGCTGATTGTACTGGGCCTTGTGCTGGTCGGCGAAGTGGCGTATTATCGCTTGGTGGTCGCTGTGCGTGTATGCGTCTGTCACCGTCCATGTACCTCGTCACGCTAGGCATGGAATAGAAAATGTTTAGTCGATGACTCACTCACCAAATGTAAATAGTTGTTTATCGATTTGGTGGGACAGGACATTTTGCCAATTCGTTATTCTTGTAATACATATATGTTTTTCGTATCTTACTAATTAGGTTATGGACGTGAGCGTTGCGACAGTTTGCCAACTAGAAATCGGACACTAAGTGAATGCAGTAATCAAACATATATTGCATTGAAACATGGGCATCGATGTAACACTATATCAGGATCACGGCCATATTTTATCCAAAGACACACTGACAGTCCACCAACTTATTCAACAAAATGCTCTGAAAGTGAAGAGTCTTCAATAAGCATTGACGAAGCAAATGAAAAATCCAACTTTGACGCTTATCGAATAAAGTAAGTATAATCCGTACGTCTATACGAATGTTTATTTATTTGTCCCCTTTTAGGCCAGAGCCTGTACATTTAGTATTTACTCTTGTATGTATCACCCTCAGATAAAGTCATACGATTTGTGGAGCATGCTTACACCCTCGAGAGAGTATCCAAATAGAAAGTTAAATTATTTAACAACTTCAAGGATCTGTTATTCTTATGTTTGAACCCATTAATAACGAGTAAAAACGACATAATGGGTTTGTGGAAAAATATGTAGTACCCAGAAGGAAACATCTCCCAACTCATTCCACGTATGCATTATCATACTCCATAGCAATATCCGCGTCGATCAAGTCACGTTGGTCTGTGTATTCTATTAATAAAAATCGAAGCCGGAATTTTGTTTTTGAGCATATCTCGGAACTTTTGAGGACTAGAGATCGAGATTAAATCTAAAAATTAAAAAAACAACGCATTGTTAGAGTTATAGTCCTTAGCCTTGGCCTCGCTACTTACACATTTAGATGACATGTTCATGACTTAAAAATGCTGTAAGACAATAAGCAACGAAGCATATCACTAAAGCATTTTCCATAGTGGAGCGCAAATGCAGAAAAACATACTTACTTGTTTTAGTAGCTTTGTTTTATTTTAAATTAATGATTCTTATGGTTTGGTTTAAATAGGGTGATTTTTATTTTATGACAATAACAATTAAAATAAATGTTTATATGCATTTTTTTAGAATTAAGTATTGTAAAAAAAAGTAAAATATGTGGTTAAAAAAGTATTGCAGTAGCCTTCCGATAATCTTATATTTTACTAATTTTTTAAGTGACCTCCAATTTGTTTAATTAAGTAATTTAGAGGCTTGTTGTTTCGATAGGCTAAATTGGCTCAGATAAAGGCAACGGACTAAAATAGAACAGCGAGCCACAAAATGTAACGGCACATAATTGTGACCTATTTTTATTTTTAAATACAATTTTTATTTTAATACAATTTATTGGCTCTAGGTCTTAGTTTTCGATTTTATTACAGCATTAATTTTCATTTTTTCTCCAATATTTTTCGAACAGCATTGAGGTTCGTCATTAATTTTAACACACCACAATATAATATTGGAAAATTGATAGGCTCGAATATTTTTGTAGGTTTTTGTAGTTATGTTTCTGCTGTTAAGCTATAGGACTTTAGGATTTAAAAAAGCGTTAATTTGTTGTCCTGTCTCTTTTCAATTTTACCCGATCTTTTTCTCAACATTATCTTCCCTATCAATAGCAGACAGGACAACGACGTGTTTTGTAAGTATTCTGGTGTTTGTTTTCCATCACAATATTCGATATGGTTGGTGATACCACCGACACAATTGGTGGACCTTTCAATTTTAAGTATATTTATTCTTATATTTAAAATACCTTTTCCTGTTATGTAGATCGTCTAAATGTATGTGATTAATTTTCTTAGTAATGTTTGTTTGTATGACCTCAGGTACTCGTTCATTATCGCATATACATGTGCTAATAAGAACAAAATGCTCCATGATAAATTCTCCGTGTAAATAAACGGGAAAACTTAATTGGACTTAAGAAAAATGTGATGTACCTTTCCAAGTCTAACAGATTTAGCAATTGATGTCATACAAAAGAGGTGGAACGAAATCAAGGAGTATACACAAATACCAAGAAAATATTAACGAATTTTTTGACGTTCTGCATAAAAGAAAACTTCGAAATTCAGTGAAAAATAAAAACGGTAATTAAAAGCCTACTAAAAGGATCGCCGGTACCGCTAATTATAGCGGATATTTAAATAGAAGAGGCTTTGAGTAAAATAATAACAACTAAATGAATTACCACATACGTCGACGACCTATTTGCCATTGCTTGGAAAAATTATGTTGAGAATTTTGACAATCTTTAATTCATACCCAAGGATTTAAAGCTTACCCTCGAAATGGAATAAAACAGCAAATGAACTATTTGTTATCCCCTGATTATTAGAATAGACAACAAAATAAATTAATACGAAAACTATATCTCGAAACACTCAAACTCGAAAACGTAAAACATGAACATAAGAGGAGTATTAGAAATAAGCCATGTCATCCATTTTCAAAATATTCAGATCGACTGCTTTAAAAGAAAAGTCATGGCAATATTCCATAAACAACAGCATAGAAGCACTAGATAAAACTTAGAAAATATAGAAACTACCATGTACTGGAGACTAGGCCAATATATGCATTGAGAAAATATCGCACAAAAAATCCAAAACCTGGAGCTAGCCGAATACAATTCTTTTATTTTTTAGTTTAAAACCTAACTTTAATACAATAATTGTTTCTTACTAGTATTATAAAATTATAAAAACTAACACATGTGTGCATAGACTTCGTTTCTTGAGAATATGTCTGAGAAAGCAGTAACATAAGTCTGAACAGAAATGCCTGATCTTCTGCTTTTAGATCAATTTCCATTTACTAAACCATTATCCCCATTATCCGTTGAATAACGGAAAATAAAAATTGTTTTTTTTTTTTTCAATTATTAAGAATGTTATACTCGATATTGTTAGCTGTATGGGAAACAGCATATCCGTAGATTTTATGCCCACCGTGGTATGTCCGGTTAGAATGTAGACCTTTAGAGAAAGTTATCCTAGTTTGAGAACTAAAGCATATATATAAGAGCTTCAAAAGCTTTTAAAAGGCCTCCGACCGATTTTTTGAGTTTATCCGTTTACTTTATACAGGATCGTTTTGCTTTCAAGTTCCTTTTTCATCATTATAATCAGCTCTTCCGAAGGACAGATTAAAATTCGTGTATTGATTACGGGCTCAAAAAAGCCCTGTGATATTCGGGTCTAGAATTTGAAATGTCTAAAAAATACCTTTGTATTATGATGTTGTGCATAGTATGTAACAAGCGAAATGAAGCATATACGGCCTCATTAAGTATAAATATTTTTGATCAGCATCAATTGCAAAGTTGATTTAGACATGTCCGTATGTCTGTCCGACTGTATGTATGAAAGCGTTGATTTTATAAGAGCTATAAAATGTAGAAGTTTGATATTTTCCTAATGTTCGCACAGCACGAGTTTGTTTCTGTTCTTTCTTAGCTGTAGCCCGTTTTCAAGTAACCGATTAAAATTGTATTCGAAATCCGTTTTTTTTAGCACATCTCTTAAGTTTTAAGAGCTTCAGATTTGCTCAAAAACAGACTTTTTTAATCGATTTTTATCGACAGCTTGGAAACAGGGTAAGTTATCGATGTTCTTAAAAAAAAACGTACTGCGCGGGTACTAGAGAGTCCAATGTTCAAAAATTCAAGTCTAGCTTTTGTAAATACGAGAATGTTACATTCATCAGAGAGAGTTCTAAGTTATATTTTTATATATTTATGCGCTTCCATTCTGGTTGTGCATCGCGCTCTAACAAATTTTTGCTGTTTCCTTTTGCTCCAAACAATAATTTGTTTGTGTACGAATATATTTTGAGCGTTATTGATCTATTTATCTATTTTTGTGCACCGTTTTTCGATTCGCTCTGTGCTCTCGCAACTTCTGCATAACTCTCTTAGCGCCGGTAGAAAATATGTCATGTTTTAAGAAACCTTACACGGTCAAGCTGGCTGATGATTCTGCACAGCCGCAATTTGTTAATTGCTGGTTGTGTGAGAATATAATGCATGGTAAATGTGTAGGTCTCACTGGGCGTGATTGCGACAAGATCGCTGCTATCGCTAAGAAGGGCTGCGGTTGTGCCCAGTATGCATCGACAATATAATTAATTTCTTCAGAATGTATAATTTTGTGAGAATTCAATTCTTAAAACTTAATAATGTGGCTAAGCAGCGTTCGAGTAACTTTGACTCGAGTTTTGAGTTGCTTAGCAAACATCAATTCGAGTCTCCACCCAATCGCCGATTAGAGCTACTATTTTTGTATTTGCCCTCTCTGTCTATCCAAACACCTACGCCTCTACTGCCGTGCCTAGCAACTTGGAATTATTCCCAATGTTGTCAATATCGCCTCCAAGCGATTGTCCAAATATTACCCCTGTAATCCCCTGAAGTAGTCTCAGTAGACCCTGTAGTTGACTTTGCCCCAGTCAGCGAAACTGCTTCAGCAGCGTCAGTTTCTGGCCGCAAAGGTAGACCTGCGCACAATCTACCCCAGATTGTTCCTGTTTTATTAGATCCTATTTTGACTTTTGTTGCCCCTTGTAAGCAAGTTTTTGTGTCTCGACTTTCGTCTGACACCACTTATGAGTCATTGGCTGCCTTTATTTCTAGCAAATTTTTTGCTAGCGTGTCAATAACCAAATTTAATCTCCCGTATTTGTTAACGATTACCTTATTGCTAATGTGTCCAGGTCCCCTCCTTTATATTTTCTTGAGGATGTATATCATCATACTTTAGAGGTTGCAATTTTCAATTGAAATCCTCTCTCATCAGCTACCGATAAGTCCCGCCGCTGTTTTCGCAAAGAAAAGTATTTCCTGCTTAATCAACGTATTCATGCAACCGACTGGTCTTTTTTATATGACTCGGTTGATATGAATACTGATGGAAATTTTTTTTTTAACACCCTGAACTCCCTCTTAAATGTTTGTATTCACAATTCAATTCCTTCAAATGTTTCAGTCAGACTATCAAGCTTAAAAAATATTAAGTCTAAATATTTTAAAAAGTTTAATAAGTCTGGTTCGTGTACTGGCTTGACTAAATATTTTATAGCCAAGTCGAACTTCTTTTTTTTTAATTATCAGTCCTATGAAAATTATCTTACTCGTTGGAAAAGGCAATTTGTCCAAAATCCGAGACAGTTTTACAATTTTGTAAACTTGAAGCGTAAATCTTCAAGTTTGTCATCTTCTTTTTCTCTCGGGATGGATAAAGCTAGCAATGATTCTGATTCTGCTAACCTATTTGCTAATTTTTTCCAATCCACTTACTCTTCTGTATGTCCTAATAATAATTATATCTCTTATAATATTACTTCCTTTAGTTCT